TCCTTGTGGAATCGGTTTGACTTCAATAAGCTGGAGTCCCTTAGCAGGACTGAGGAGGGCATGGCCAAGTGCATACCCGCTGAGCCCATTGACCTCAAACTAACTAATGAATATGCACGCATTCTTGCTGAATTTTATAACGATGGTATTATCTATGCGCTCTTCTCACTATGTCTTTGCTCGTTCTTGTGTCGCAGGTACCGACTTTACCTCGATGACGAATCATATTCAGTCGAAGCTCAACCTTAGTCGAGGTGGCACACGCACTCAGCCTGTGCCTCGACCAAAGAGAGCTCAACCCAACAAGGCGCCTAGGGAGGCCGTTGTATGCCCATCGTCGGAGGCGCCAGACACCTCGTCCCAGCGCATGGGACCTTAGACTGACGGGGTGGACAATGACTCACCCCGGGCGGATCGCCGCCTTTCACCAACTCCCACACCTACCTCCGCCTCCACGCCTCGAGAGATCGCTGGAGTGAACATCCCTCCTTCTCCGTCATCCGCCGCGCCCCGGAAAAAGGGAGGTGGAGCGCTGCATCAAGGTGGGAAAAAGTCGAATACGGCCATGACAAGTGGACACGCATTCCCCTGAGATTCGCGGAGCCAACGATTGGGGCGCACACCGGTCAAGTAATCCCCCCTTACTTGCAGTCGCCAAGGTGCCCTCTTCTCAAGATCCTGGTGGACGTTCCCGTTAATGCTACCAAAAAGGTCCCCGCCTCCGTTTAGATGGCGAGGTCGCATTACGACATCATCGAGCATCCTGAGGGCCTCATATCTTCGAAGCCCTGGCTCAATCTTACCAACATGAGCGTATAGGTAATCCCTTTGTGACAAAGTGCATTAGCCACTCCTTGTACTTTTTGTGATCCTAACTTCCCTGTTGCTTATACATCGGATGTTTGTTCTGCTGTGTTGTGCGCCCAGATGATGCTCCTGTGCGAGGACACCACGCGGGAGATTGTCAGGATGGCTCAAGAAGACTCGGACGCGTCCATCTCGTCTGTGCGCATCCGCTTGGACTTGGATGCTGCCAACAAACAGCGCATGGTGCTGACCATTACTTGCAATGAGGCGCAAGAGAAGGCAGCCTCCTGCGCCTACGATTCGGAAGAGAATCTAGAAGTCGAGCGCCACAAGGTTCTCACTGCGGTTGAAGAAGAAATGAGGGCCCAAGCCGCTGCTGACAAGGCCGAGTGCGAAAGAGTGGAGGCAGAGGTTGACGAGGGGCAGGCTGCTTTCACACGGGAGCGTGACGCTTTGCTGGAGGAGAAGGATGTGCTTCGTCAGACTGTCGAAGACCTGGAGGAATCTAGCAAGAAGATGAAGAAATATCGGTCACATTACAAGCACGATCTGAAGAAATCTCGAGCCTCAGAGTAGAAGTTGATCCTGGACTTGGCTAATTTCCCTTATTCGACCGCTGGTAAGAACCTCCAGGCTGACATTGTGATCAGCGTAGTGGAGACCTTGCAGGCCAAGTTCCAAGCGGATCATCCAGACGTGAGTTCAACTCGATAGCTCTCATCGAGTATGTCGTGTTTGCCATGGAGAGCCAACCATGTGTTCTGAGGGCGAACCTTCCACCGGAGGGAACGCGACATCAGAAGCCAACCAGGATGCGCCTGGGGATGGTCCCACTCCAAGCGATGCAGGTGACGAAGGGGATGCGGGGAATGAAGTAGACGACGAGGAGATAGACATCCAGGAATGAAGCCCACGTCGCCCCTGCACCTGACTTACATTATCATTTTTCATTGGTATTTTTGAACTTTTGTTTGACGAGTAGTTAAGACAAGGAAAGCGCATGTGCCCCTTTCCCCCTTTCGTACCAAACTTAAACTCTGGGGATTATTATCTTTTGCATAATCTTACTTCCTTTTTCGTGTGGTGCTTTTGCCTTCAAACTTTAACGTATCTTTGCTAGGCACATGTAGTTTGGGCGCTTTACGATCGTATTACCGATAACCTACGGGCGCGTGCGTGTGGGGCGCTTTAACAAACTACTATTCGAGTCACGCGGGCGTGTAAGTGTTGGGCGCTTTACAACCATTGCCCGAACGCGAAAGGCGCTATATGGTGGGGCCCTTTAGAATTTTAATTTCATAAATAAAGGGCGCAACTGGGCGGGTGCTTTTTGAAATTACCGTCTAAACAATGGAAAGGGAGCATTGTTATAGAGGGCGCATTGTCATTTGGGCATGTAATATTGTGGGGCGCTTTTAGAATTTCAATTTCATAAACACAGGGCGCAACTGGGACGATGCTTTTGAAATTACCGTCCAAACAAAATAAAGGGTGCACTGTCATTTGGGCGCTTTATAGGCTTACCATCGCTACCCAAACTTCTAACCAAAACACGCACATCAAAAAGTAAGGCAACGCTCCGGCCAAAATATACGCGCATGCGCTACTCTGCTGCCCGTGCCTACTCCGAAGTCTCCCCGTCCACCCTACCATGGTACACTCTAAGGTTCTGCGCATTCCACGTGCGTTTGACACTCTTGCCTCCCAGGAGCTCCAGCTTGAATGTGGCTAGACCCACCACCTCTCGAGCACCGTAGGGTCCCTTCCACTTGGGTGCGAGTTTTCCTTTATTGGCTTTCGCTCGGAAGCCTCTTCACATTACCAAGCTCCCATGCCCTATCCGATGAGGACACATCTTCTGGTTGTAATATCTGGCAACCTACCATTTCATGGCTTTCAGGAGGATAGAGGCGATGTCTCGCCGCTCTTCGAGCATGTCGAGATCATGCACACGCTCTTCCTCATTGGTTTGCGCCTCGTAATTTTCTAGCGTGAAAGTGGGTATGCGCAATTCCACTGGGATGACCACTTCACTCCCGTACGTAAGTGCAAATGGGATTTCTCTTGTCGCCACTTTGTACGTCATCCAATGCGCCCATAGCACGCTCGACAGTTCCTCGACCCACCTGCCCTTTGCGCATAGCACTCTTGTATGCAGGCCGTGCAGTATGCTCTTGTTGGCAGCTTCTGCTTGACCATTCGCCTGGGGATACGCCACAAATGAGAAGCGCAATATTACTCCCTTCTCATCGCAGAAGTCTATGAATTTTTTGCAATCGAATTGCTTCCCATGGTCGGCTACAATCGCCTCTGGTAGTCCAAACCTAGTGAAAATGTTCATGTTCGTAAACTGATGCACCTGCGCCTGCGTTATGGACGCAAGGGGCTCAGCCTCAACCCATTTGGAGAAATAATCCACTACCACTATCAGGTACTTCATTTGTCCAGGCGTCTTGGGGAACTCCCCCAATAAGTCCATACCCCACTGCGAGAAAGGCCATGCGCCTACATTACCCTGCATAGGTGCGGTTGGGATGTGAACATCATTGGCGTGTATTTGACACTGGTGGCAGTTGACCATATGCTTCTTTGCGTCCGCACGGATGGTGGGCCAGTAATACCATTGCCTTAACAAAATTTTCTCCAAGCTCCGTGCCCCCGCGTGCATGCCACATGCGCCTTGATGCAACTCCTCAACTGCTTCTTTACCTTGTACTTCGGTAAGGCACCTTAGATAGACACCTGAGAGTGACCGCTTGTACATCTGGCCATCGATGAGTGTACAACAAGCAGCCTTGCGATTCACTTGCCATGCTTCCCTACTGACCTGCAAGAGAATTCCTTGCACTAAGTATGCCCTGATTGGTGTCATCCAACTTTCCTCCACACTTGCATCTTCGACAATTATGCCTATCGTCGATTTGCGCACGGGACGCTCCTTGGTGACGATGACTTGCCTGTCTTCGTCGAAGTCAGTTGCTGTGGCTAGCTTGGAGAGGGCGTCAGCGTGAGCGTTCTCCTCTCTAGGGACATGAAGGAACTCAACACTCTTTAACCATGCGCCTTTGGATCTCACCATGCCCGTATAGGCATTCAGAGCCTCTTCCTTGACCTCATACACGTCGTTCAGCTGATTTATCACCAAAGCAAAGTCCTATCGAAGTTGGACTTTTTGAGCTCCAAGGTCTCTTGCCGTGTGTAGTCCTGCAATAACCGCCTCATACTCTGCTGCATTGTTAGTTTTAAATGTCGAAAAGCGTAGGGCTAGCTCGTGCATTGCTCCCAGTGGGTTTACTACTACCACCCCCGCACCGGCGCTTGTCCTGCTTGACGCACCATCAACGCACACCTGCCAGACTTTCTCTGCCTCATATCCTGCACACCCGATCCCTTCTGCCACAAACTCTGCCAAGACTTGTGCTTTTATAGATGGACGGGGCGCATGATGTATGTTATATTCGCTAGGTTGCACCGCCCACTTGACCATGCGCCCAGCAACATCCATCGACCCCAACGTGCTCCTTAAAGGGAGATTCGTGAGGATCGTCACTGGGTGCGCTTGAAAATTGGGTCACAATTTCTCAGTCGCCGTTAAAACTGCCAAGGCTGCTTTCTCAATAGGGGCGTAGCGCGTCTCGGGCCCCGCCATCACTTTGCTTCCATGGTATACTGGTCTCTCCTCCCCAGTCTCTCCCTCTTTCGATACGAGCACCGCACTCACTTCCGTTCTCAAGACTGTAATGTATAGGTAGAGCATTTTGCCCTTCTTCGGGGAGGTCATAACGGTGGGCACCATTAGTAGGGTCTTTAGCTGCTTGAAGGCCTCGTCACATTCCTCTGTCCACTTGAATCATGCGACCTTTCTCCAGATACAAAAGGACGGCGTGCCCTTGTCCGGCGAGCGGGGTATAAAGCACCCTAACGCTGCCGGTCGCCCGTTTAGGCTTTGCACCTCGTTGGGCGTACATGGAGGTTGGAGGCGCCTGATCGCCTCCACCTGCTTGGGGTTAGCCTCAACACCACGTTTCGTGATCATGAAATCCAAGAACTTCCCAGCCTCCGCCTCGAAGACACACTTTAGGGGGTTGAGGCGCAGGGCATGAGTCCGCAGGGTCTAAAAGGTCTCGCGCATGTCCGCCACTTGGTCTCCTCTCTGCTTGCTCTTGACCACTAAGTCATCCACGTATGCCTTTACATTCAGTCCGATCTTATTTTGGAACACCTTGTTCACCATACGGTGGTACGTGGCCCCGCGTTCTTGAGCCTGAACGACATCATCCTGTACTGGTAATTTCTGAACGGCGTCATAGTGTTGTCTTGTCCCTGTCTTCTTCACACATGGGTATCTAGTGCTATCCCGAGAACATATCTAAGAAGCTGAGCACTTCATGGTACGCGGTCACGTCCACCAGCTGGTCGATCCTTGGCATGGGGTAGGCGTCCGTGGAAGAAACTCGGTTTAGGCTGGTGTAGTCCACGCACATCCTCCATTCTCCTGACGCCTTTGGAACCAAAACGACGTTGGACAACCATGTCGTGTACTTGGCTTCCTCAACGAACCCCGCTTCCCGCAACTTCTCCACTTCCTTTCTCAACGCCTCTTCCTTTTCCAACGAGATCGGACGTCTCTTCTGTTGTATGGGGCGCACGCCATTCGCTTCCGCTAAACAATGCTCCGCAATTTCCACCTTTACTCTGGGAATCTCCCTCGCGCTCCGCGTGAATAGGTCCGCAAATTCTCTTAATAGGCGGATTAGGGGCTCAAGTTCGTCGCCTAATGTTGCCGAGATGCGAACACATCGGTCGGCGCGCTGGTCGTCAAGGGGCACGTGAACCTCCACGTCTGCCTCTTCCGCCCTTGTTAAGTCTTCGGAGCGTACGTCTATGTTGTACATTCGGCTTCTTTTGGCGAGGCGCGCTTCCGCAGATGCCTCTCCCCTCGATATTCCAATCCCCCTAAGGGTGATGAATTTCAACGTCTGATGGCAGGACGAGGCCACCCCATTGAAAAGGGCCAAAAGGGGGTGCTCCAAAATCGCGTTGTAGGGGGCGGGGCAGTCAACGATGCCAAAGTCCATCGTGTGGGTCACGCTATGCACTTCGTCACCTAATGTCACGGGGAGGCGCGCACGTCCGAGCACTTGACCTGGCACCCTCTAGAATTCTACCAACACGGTGTCTGCCGGCTTCACCATACTGGCGGATAACTACATTTTTTCAAAGGTGGACATGAACAACACGTCCATTGAGATTCCCGTGTTAACCAACATCCTCTTGACCTCACACCCAGCTACCACGCCTCGGATTTCTAGCGCCTCCGTGGAGGGTGTTTGGCACGCCTCCTCTGGTACATCATTGAAGTGTATATTAATCGCCTCTCGTGCACTGGCTGTGGCCGATTTCAACCGTCTCCCTTTTTCCAACTTCTGCCTCAGGTCAATGGAGCCGATTAGGGATGGCAATGGGTCGGGTTTTACCAAGCCCAAACCCATGAGTTTATCCATGAAAAAAACCCGGGGTAAGACCCACTGGGTTTGAAAAACTCAAACCCAACCCGTTGGGTATCTACGGGTTCATGGGTACCCACGGGTTTTTGTCGAAAAAAATTCACAATAACAAGTTCTTATCAAAATTAAAGTCAAATATCAATCTCTCAATACAAATAATCCATATATAAAAAAACCATTCTAGAAAATTCACACAAATTAACTATACAAATTGTTCAACACCAATCTAGAAAACAAAAAAAAAAAAAAATGAAGCAAATCACAAATTATCCATAAATAACATGATTAATTGAAAGTTTCTTCCTTTCAATTAAGTTTTTCACTCTCCACTGGATAACATCAACTTCATTCTACACAACTAGAAAGAAATAATTATACATGTCTCCACAAACATAAATAAGGTTAGTTGTTTAAAATATTAAATATGTCGAGAAAATTAATTATATGGGGGTGGGCGAGTACCCATGGGCCGGGGTTACCTAAACCCAAACCCAACCCAACCCGTTGAATAGTGAACATGTTTAAACCCAAACCCGGCCCAAAACCCGTCAACACGGATTTTACCCGCATTGACCGGGTTGGGTTTGTTGTCCAATATATTTAATCCATGTGTGTTAACTAATTTTCGTCATAAGTTTCATCTCTATCTCAACTAAGAATCATCAACGAATTACACCTAATTGATTAAGATATCTTTTTAGTTAAATTAGAACTATCTTAGTAAAAGCTAATTTGAAATTTAGGGACGGATGCGTTCCTCTTTTTAATGGTATCCTATTACAATTCATCAAAATTAATGTCAATCGAACTACGCGGACTTTGATCCCAAGATATTGGGTACGTAGGCGGCCTATGGGTCCAAGTCCACTAATAAATAAAACCCTTTTCTCCCTAAAATTAACAAAAACGTATATTAATTCTTCCAACATAATTACATGTTGATGAACATGTAATATATGTAAAAAATGATATCACGTATTCGATGTAAATCCAAATAATTTCAAACAAGCAAGTATCAATTAAGAAGACAAATCAAACTTATAGTACCGACTTAGGGCGATGTAAGGGTGCTAATACCTTCCTTACTCGTAACCGACCCCCGAACCCATAAATCTATTTCGCAGACCGAGCCAAGCCTAAATCATAACCTATTTATGCTTGACTTCCCAAGTGTCCAATCCACTTTGAGAGATTGGTGGCGACACCTCTTTTTCGCACCGCGTCGCGGACGGACCGTTTGCGATAGTTGGCGACTCCGCTGGGGACACATGGTTAATTTTACCTTTGTGGGTCAGGCTATGATTGATTTGTCTTCAATTTTGTTGTTTGAAATTTTTTGCTTATTTATTATCGATATATGATGATGTTGATACATAAAGCTCTATACGAGAGCTACACCCTAACTAGGACCCTTGGACGGAGTAGTGTATGCCTTTACGATGGTAAGGGCGCACGAAATCGTCCAGCCCGAATTGAACCAAATCTGATACCGCCGAAAGGCTATTAGATGAGGTTACATTTTACTAGCTCAAGGGAGCGACAGTGAAATACAATTCGGGTTCCCTTAAACCTTCCAAACCTAGATCCCACCCGACGCATAATTATACTATTGACTTTGTGGTAATTTTCTTTTAACTTGTGAAATCGTGTATGTCTATACTAAATTTGTTCATCTCATTGCATTTTACGCTTTCACTTTGTTTCAAAAAATAAATCAAACATAATTGCATCTTTTCCCAAGTCATCCAATGCATTATCATATCTATCAATTCCTTCATAACAATTTGTCATGGACAAACATGTTTCTTCTCTAGAATAATCCTCATTTTCATGCCTAACTTGGCATTTCATTTAGATCCATGATATTTTATAAGCATTCAAAGTTTAGATGATTAATAAACATTTTGGTAGTTTTCAAAATTGCTCACCGACAAAAAAAAAAAAAAAAAAAATTCTTCTCATGTATACCCAAATTGCTCAAAAACTGGACCACAAGGCAGATGTAAGACAAGAAGACGCAGAAGGATTTGGATGCGATAAAAGTGAAGCAAGAAAATGTTGAAAAGCTTAATGATGAAATGGGGCATCGATATCGTATAAAAGGAAGTTTGAGAAGATGATTCCTTATGTATCCGGAGACATTGCACGACAAATAGAATGGAGGGCAAAATCTACTCACCATCATTTCAAAATTTCCCGAACACAATCTTCCTACTATGGTGATCACATTCTGACTGCGAATCCACTCCAATCGTTGATCTCATACTCTTGTATCCATAGTTTGAGTTTGGGGGTTTGATTCCCCATTTTTACCGAGACTACAATTGTGTGCATAATCATGGGAAATCACGATTTTGACACATGAATAATGATTATCCAGGGTATATGACAATCTATAATGACGACTGAGAATGTAGTATGCGAGTGATCAATGATATTCCTCCTTTGATGCAAAATAACATATGAATCAGAATCAGTCAATCAACACTTTTGGTTGTTTGAACATAGCAATTGGAAAAACTTGCATGAGAGAATGAGCAGCTAGGAAGCCTGTGAGTTTTGTACCGATTCGTTTTCTTTCTTGTGTGCTAGATCCCTTTCTACATGATTATTATGCTTAATGTTTGCACGAGACTGAGTCATGATACCATTAACGAGGAGGATGGAGGCATAGGATTAGCCATGTTCCTTCGGTTACACCATGTTTTCAACCAATCCCTATTCTTTCAAGCCCTTATTTTGGAACCCTTCCATGGTTCCATGCGATGTTTAAAATATGGTATTCTACATTTCAGATAGAAAAAATGAGCTAAGGAGGGATCATATCCAAAAAACATTGTTCCACAATCAAGATGCTTTGCACTTTTCTTTGAACTCTCATATAAAAAGTAGAATAGATCATGCCACAAAAAAGAGAGTTGGCCATCCAATTCCCTACACTTTAAATGAGTTGTTTCACAAAGTCCATTGGCTAAGTAAACTCTCAAATCCTCAAATAAATTATCCACTCCTTTTCTCGTGAAGAGGAGCGTGATTAAGCAGAAAGTCGTGAGTTTTGGATATAGTGGAACCTTGAACTTTTAGCCACTTGAAACGAATATCCCATGTACTTCACCCTAGCCACATTTAACATAATTACAAGTCCTCCGGATAAGCTAATGGTGACCCATTTCATGGAGACTCGGTCGAAATGCAAACATTTGCAAGCTAATTTCATGGTAGAAAGATGGTAGGACGAGCGTATTCAAAATGCAACAACTTTGCACAAATTATTTGTCCTGACCCCACTGGTCGAGTGAAAGTGATTTTCTTACCTATGCTCTAAATCCCGGTGAGGTCCTAATTTGCTCAATTTCTTGTGCCATATTTCTTAGTTTCTATGTTTGAATCGTTGAGATACCAAGCAACCAATTAGGTTCTCGTAACATTTTGCAAGACGGATTCACAATTTCACTTATCACCAGCATACTATAGTCGAATGTTGTTTGTGGCGATTGCAAGCATCCATGTTGCGCCTTCTCATGCGTCAATTTCGAAGGCCAATTGAAGCACAAGTTTTCATACCCCTACAAGTATCGCCAAGGGTCTCGGGATATTTGCTAGTAAACAAGGATCATTTCATAGGAGAATCAAAGGTCAAACAATAAAGAGAATGACTTGATATGCTACCTACATGATAACATGTACAGCCGCATAATCAACAACGTGCCTGGGTAAACGAATCTCGCATTCACACTCAAGCGCCTTCAAAATCAAGTCACAATGATGAAATGTCATAGCAAGAATAGTATGCTGCTAGGGGAAACTGGGGGCAATAATAGAATGATCACCGGTACATATTGTCACAACTAGGGAAACGAAGAAGTGGCTGCCATTTCAAGAAGCAATACAAGAGAGCCCCGCCATCAAATGCATAGAAAAGCTATTGATGAATCGCAACACCAATACTATGGGCAATCAAAATCAAAAGGATCACATCCAGACAAGAGAAGTCACATGGTCCAGTTAAAGAGAAAAAGAGAAGTAAAAATAAAAAATTACGAAAATATTGTTGGTGAGCAATCAAGAAAGCTTCTTAAAAGTAATAAAATGATTTCTACTTATTTTTTTCCTTATATCCCAATATCTCTCATTTTCCTTTTCGATGAAAACAATCATTCATCTCATTATCATACACGTCATAGAGCATATTTCGCCTCAAACATCAATCTTCGCAAACACATCATCATTCATTATAGGGTAGAATTTCACGTGCATATATCACTCAATCTAGAAAAAGCCCAAAATACTATTTTTACCCAATATACCACTTACATCTTCATTTTTTCTCTTTTCCAATAAAAATGGATTCATATAAAAAATAAACACATACATTTTGCATCACAAATCAGACCCTAAACATACTCATCAATATTCATAATAAAATGAGATCTCACGTGCATAGTTTGCTTATGTACGCACCAATAAATTTCACAATTAATCTACTTTGTCTTCATAGGATAGTATGTCCTATAAGATTTTCAGACCCAAAATATATCCCTACATTTTCATATTATTCCCATTAAATCGACTACTTACGTCATAGTTGCTTTTTTCTCTTTACATATATCGACCTTGCGTCGGCAGGCGCTATAAACACCATGCATAATCGACCTTGCGTCGGCAGGCGCTATAAACACCATGCATATCGACCTTGCGTCGGCAGGCGCTATAAATACCATGCACAATCGACCTTGCGTCGGTAGGCGCTATAAACACCATGCATATCGACCTTGCGTCGGCAGGCGCTATAAACACCATGCACAATCGACCTTGCGTCGGCAGG